TAACAGCTCAAAGCTAAATTTAACTTTGTTAAGTTCATTAAACAAAATGAATAGAACAGGAATTTCAAACAAAATGTAAATGAATAACAAATTAAATTTTAATTCTCTTGAAAAAAAAATAAAAAAAGCATCAACATGAGCACACACAGAAGCCCTACAAAAGAGAAGAGATGCTTCACATTGCATTGAAGTTAAATTTTTCTGCTGTTTGCTGAATAGGAAAAAAAATGAAATGAATAAAATTGTTAACAAGGATAAATTAAAACTGCATGCATAAGTTAAGATCGCACAAACTACAGAGACAGAGACAACAAGAGCACATTCACTTCCGCTTCCATAAGCGCACACGAGTTGAAAGTTTATGGAAGCATTTTGACATAAATTAAATAAATGTTCTCATAGATTGTACGACATAAATCATCATCCTCAAGGATGGTTAAGCATCGTCGTAAGATTGTTATGAATATTTTTTCATCCTCAACATTCTGCTCTACTTACACTTTTTTTCTGTTTCTTTCAAATACACATTATGTCACACCATAAATTACCTTAAAGAAAATTTGTTTCAACATTAGGATAAATGGAAGTTATGGAGAAGTTTAAATGTCTTCTTTAATGGTCTGATGGTGTTAAATATGGTGATGCGCATTTATGGCTAATGATCTGACTGTCTTATGAATTTTTTTTGAAGGTTCTTAAGTGTCTCAACAGAATTTAGTTTAAAAAGTGGTCACTGCAGTCATTTCGTAAGCTGTAGGACCCTCTTTCATCCTTCACAGGACCAAAAGTAGCTCCCAGTTGATCAAAGACTATTGGATTTATGTGATTGTCTTTTAAAATTGAGCATTTGATAGAAAGTTCCAGGAAAAAAATTCAATAAATTCCAGTTTCATCAAATTTCGATTCACCAGAAATATCATCAAAGGATTTGATCAGAAAAGAATTCCTAGAATATTAAGCTTCAACAACATTGCCTACTCGATTTCAATGATCAAAAAGTGACATCAATACTCTTACATCTCCTTCAGCAATCAGAATTCCATCATCATTACACAAACAAACTCCAAAAAGCACTCACAATTGCAATTTAAATCACATAATTAAAGAGAAACAACCAGCATCAGCAGCACAGTTTTCTCTCCAGCATGATCCAATGTAGTTTTCAAAATCTGTCGACATTCTGTTCAAACAATAATTTTAAAACAATTTGCGATGCAGAAAAATCTCTCTCAACAGACAGACTGAGCACAAAACATTCCATCCACATTCGCTATGCATAAAAAACTTTTCTATGCTCAACAAACATAACTCACTTAATTGTTTCACAAGAATGAAAGCTGTTGAGGTAATAAGTTAGTAAAACATGAGCTTTTTTAAGGTCGTAGATATTTCTCAATACATAATTTATTGGATTTACACTTCATTTAAATGGTAATTAACATGAAATATTGAAAATTTTCATTTTCAATTCTTGCCTTATAATCGTCATTATAAAGAGCTTATGGCATTTCTTCTTCTCACTCTGCAAACTAAGTTACTCTGGCTCATGTTCCTCATTGATTGAAAAATTTATTTATAAGGAGGAAAAAGTTTTTCTGATCATCGCGTTGGGGTGCTTTGCAATTGGAATTTTTTCGTTTTTGGAAAGTTAATGAGTAGCTTGAGGCATTTTGGGAGGTTATATAAATTAATGCATGTCCAAAAATCAAATAATCTTTGGGGTCGTTCACTTATGATTTCCTGGAATTTCTATTGTTTTCTTCTTGCTGCTCTCCCTCTTCACCCCCCCCCCCCCCCTCCCCTTTTGGACGTCATAAGTGAACGGCTTATTTGGACAATAACTTATTCCTTAAAAATTACATCTCTTCAACAAGTTCAGAATGAGCTAGTTTCGTATCAAGTGCTAAATCTAGTTCAGAACTGAATTAAAGTTCTTGACAATCAAATGAGCTCCCAACTTGGATTCTAAAATCGCATTTATAATGCACATCATTTATCAGCGACCCATTCATTGAAGTATAACTTCCTGCCATAAAAATCTCATCTATATGACATAACTTCAATAACAGCTTGTAGTCTACGCTTTAATCATCCACCCACGCTGACTTTTTACATCCTTTAATTTCTTCCACTTGCCATGATAAAAAAAATAACTGAGGCAATGAATAAACGACGAAAGAGGTTTGAAGGATAAAACTTTATGAGCGATGACAGAATAGAATTAAAGTGGATTATAAACTAAGGCTGGATGGTGACGGTGGGGATGACGAAAAGAAGTGAGATCAAGTAAAAGGAAAGAAAAGTTTTCTTTTTTCAAGCATCTCATCATGAATTGAAAGCTGCAAAGAGAGAGAAATAAATTATTCTTCTGTATCTTGATTATCAAAGTTATTATGGATTGCGTTTTTTTTTTATTTTAGCGGAGGGGTCTGATGGACCTTCTTTTTGCTGTCACATTTTTTTTCGAATGGAATTTTTTATCACCGCGATGAGAGCATGAAAAATAAAAGTTTTGACGGCTCAAATGAATAAATAAGAATTTAAAAAAAGTAAGGAAATGAATTTGAGGAGAATTCAAGCTTTGGGCAGCTTGATGACGGTGATCATGGGTATGGTGGCTCAATTTACATCTTTCCTGTGCTTTAGGCACTTTCCTTAGTGATACTCAATTAGGTTTACACAAGGAGTAGTGATTAAAATAGGATGTATACAGCAGCAAGCTTAAGAATGATCATTCAGAGAATTATACTCAAAATTGTAAACAGGAAGAGTTTACTGCTGAATACCTATGATAAATTGCCGCTAGGCTTTACAAAACCTTTTTATTGCGCACAATGAACGAGTTTGAGGTCCTAAATCATCATAAAAATGTGCGGGTTCAAATCCTACTTAAAGAGACATTTTTATTACATTTTTGAATCGTTTCTGAAGTTCATCTTTTGACTACTAATACCAAATCATGTTTTACTATTTTATTGCTGGACTTCTTGAGATCATTACTTAATATCCTAAAGCTGTTTGTCGCCTAACCTTAAAGCTCAGACCATCTCTTTTGCTACTCCTCTGATTACCTCAACAGTAGCCCATCAACTCGTTCCTCCCAAAAACAACCCCAACGCAATCTCCAAAACCACAAAAACCATCGAGATTATTTCCATTCTCTTGATCATATCAGCCACGTAAGACATAAAATACAACCAAGGAAATAACTTTCATCTCTTCCATTTTTAAACCAAGCGAGAAGAAAAAAATTGTTGTGTCACCTGAAAAAATTAAAATATTTCTCAAAATGTCAAGCATAAAATGAACTTTCTCGTATAATATTTGTTTATGTCCTGTTCTAGCGTCAGTCTTATGGAAAATTTTGCTATCTGTATTTTTTCCTATTTATTTATTTTATTTTTTTATGTCTTCTTCCTCATCGCCGGATAAAAAAAAGTTTAATTAAAATTGAATGTTTTTAGAGACAAGAATCCCCTGAAATTCGAGCTGAGGAGCTAGTCATGCGATGAGTTGAATAATTTGCTGTTGGTTCTCCTTTCTTTTTTTGATTGAAAAATGCAGTTTGTTTTAATGAGGAAAAGAAGCTCTTTGTGGGGAGGAAAATTAGATTGAGAAGTTGAGTTTTAGTTTAATTGGAAATGGCAATGCAGTGAGTAATTGAAGATGAGGATGAATTTTGGTAGAACTTAATGATGGGGAGGCGGTGTCATAGAACGGGATGGTCAGGTACATTGAATACAAAAAGTCACCAAATCATGTACAGAACAACATTTTCAATATGATAGCAAACTTCCTTAAACATCTAAACACAAACTAATATAAAATATCACCCCCAGCTGCCTCAACCCCCAACACATTCCACTAAAAGCATCCTCAATAATTTTCAAAAACAGAAAATTCAATTTAGCTCAAAAAACTTTCCCAATAAACTCGTTTGTTTATTGAAGCAGAACCAAAAAAAAAGTCTACCTTAATTTTTCTGAATTTACTCTATCTGCTATGAGCGGCACATAACCTCAAAAAATTTAATTTCAACGAAATATAGAGCTTTATTTCATTTTTACTACTTGACTGAGTTAAGAGAACCAAATTAAAATTCTCTGCCGTATCATGATGATGTTTTTGGATGTGGGGTATATAAAAAATAGAACCAAAAAAATAAAGGCAAGACAACAACAGAAAATTATTTGCGAAACGTACATTAAATGAGAAAAAATTAAAATTAAAACATGGGATCACATCCGACAGAGATTTGGCAGGATAAATAAAGGAAGGAAACGATCCATTCAATTAAACCGGATAGTAGATAAGAAAAATTTCTGTGCTTCGTACTACTCAATTTATTTGCGTTGCGGGACATATGCCGCTTATGGTAGAGATACTGTGCTTTTGAATAAAAAGCAGGATGTACGGATGATGAGAAATTGTGTAGTAATGCGCATAATTTCTTGTGAGGAAGAAGATTTTTTGATGCGAATGGGTTTTTTAACGAACTTTTGAGATTTGAATTTTTAACGAACTTTTTGGGTTTGAAATTTTAACGAACTTTTTGAAGTTGAATTTTTAACGAACTTTTTGAAGTTGAATTTTTAACGAACTTTTGATACTTGAATTTTCAACGAAATTTTTGAGTTTGAAATTTTAACGAACTTTTTAAAGTTGCATTTTTAACGAACTTTTAAGATTTGAATTTTTAACGAACTTTTTGAACTTGAATTTTAACGAACTCTTGCAGATTTAATAATGAACAATCTGACTACAAAGCCTCATTTCCTCTTCAATAAGAAGCTACTAGAAAATTTTCATCTCCATACTCCGTTGTCGTTTTTATTTTGTTTAAATTCAATTAATTTTCTCCTCGGAACAATTTCAGAGGTTCGCCTTGATATAGTCACACAACATTGCTTTCATGCTCTAATTTAAATTGATATTTGGCTACGTCTGTAGCAACAGAACACTAAATTCATTATAATCAATGTCTTCTATCTCTTTCGCAGGTCTTTCAATCGTCAACATTCAATTTTGATGTGATGGAGGAGCAACCAGTTAACACAATTCTGGCAACTCTACACGCAACAGATGCTGACTCTACAATATCTGAATATCAATTAATTGATGGCAGTGGCGATAATGGAAATGAATATTTCGAAATCAATAATGTTACTGGTAAACAAAGGCATTCATTTTATTTTATTTATTTATGTGTTTTTCTCTCTATGTTTCGCTGCTCACTGCTCGAATATAATGGCGTGGATATAAAAAAATTGTGAAATAAAGTTTTCATTGTATTCGCAAAAAATAAATAAAATATTGGGGATAAAGATAGGAATTAATGATAAGTGCTAAGGGAATATGCGCATTCAAAATTGGAAGTAATTTGATTTTTTTAATTTTTACTGTAATTTTGAAATTTGAATTTTAACGGATTTTTGAATTTTGAACTTTTAACGGATTTTTGAAATTTGAATTTTCATCAGATTTATAAAATTTAAATTTTTAACGGATTTTTGACATTTTTTTCAAAAAATGTATTAAAACCAATCAAACATCAGAACTCATCAAACCAATTAATAATCACGATGGTCAACTAGCAAATTAAACTTTACACTTCCAGAAAATTTTGCTAAATACGAAAATAATGGTTTAAAATTTCAACAAAAAATACAATAAAAATAAAAATTCAAATAAAATATACAAGAGGTAAAATAAATATGCATCGACATGGCAATAAATTTACTTTAGCAACCAATTTTCCATCCAGCAATTAAACAATCGCAAATGGCTGAAAAAATAATTTTCATTTTCTGATAATTTGTGAAAAAAACAGCATAAATGCTTATCTATCTATTTCCATATTCTACATATTAAATGACGACTCATTTGGCATTTTAATGAGGCGACTGCCAGTTAATGCTTCATGATGTGTTATATGACTTAATCGACCCTTTTCGTTGAAATATGGGACATTGAACGATGCTCTCTTTTTTCTCATGCTGATGGACTGAGAGATGCAGAAAATAATGTATTGTGGGAGTTCATTGTGTTGGAATTGAGGTCAATTATTTTGAGGATTTTTGAGAATGTTGTTCGAATTTTAAGTCACGAATTGTATCTCTTAAGTAGCTTTAGTATGTATTCTATGATGTTCTTCAAGTTTTAAAGAGTAGATAGCTAAATAGCTTCCAAACTTTAATTAACTAGCCCCTATCGACCCTATCGATGTGCAAAAATTGAACCATAACCCCCAAAACCAGACTATAGATTATTCAACCCCCTGACATACATGCACAGACCATCCGAGTCTGCAAAAATAAATATTAAATGCGACCGAGCAGTAAGCAGCGAGAAATAAAAACGGAAGTAAACAAGAAGACAAAAGCAAAAAAAAATACATTATGGCCATCCCGTGACAAACTCTTAAGTCACGTTATTTATATTAATGATAATCATATTCAATTTTCTCTCTTTTTCCATCTCATCTCTCCGAAAAAAAATAGGTCTCATTCGTACCAAATCACGTATTGATTACGAGACAGTAAAGCTGATAAAGTTTAATGTCACGGTAACGGATACAGGCGTTCCACAATTAACATCAACTGCTCAAATTTTCGTCAACGTTATAAATATTAATGACAATTCACCACAATTCAATGAGACCGAATACCAACTGAATGTAAATGAAAATGCTATAAAAGGCACATCTATTGGTTTTGTGCATGCACATGATGCAGATGAAGGTAATTATGAATGAGTATTATTTAAAAAAAACCAGTCCTCGACTCAATTCACATGAATTAATAGCATGTCGGAATTGTGTGAATGTGGATGTACGTACGTCTATAGGATGTTCATAATTTTCTCCATAAAAATAATGCATGACCATTTTTGTTCTATTATGCCATATGCTACTAATAGCCTTTAACTATGAATATGCTGTATACATAAATGGCAATTTCATAGATTGCCACAAAAAGTGGATATACCAGAGTTGCGACGACAGGTACCTGTCACAGGTAAAGGTGACAGTTTCTGTCAAAAGATCACCTGTCACAGGCCGTTACCTGTTCACAGGTCAAATTTTTTCGCCTATCACAGGTGTGACCTGTCAAAGGTTCTACCTGTCACAGGCCGTTACCTGTTCACAGGTCAAATTTTTTCGCCTGTCACAGGTCAGACCTGTCAAAGGTTCTGCCTGTAACAGGTCGTTACCTGTTCACAGGTCAATTTTTTTCGCCTGTCACAGGTCTGACCTGTCAAAGGTTCTGCCTGTCACAGGTCGTTACCTGTTCACAGGTCATTTTTTTTCGCCTGTCACAGGTCTGACCTGTCAAAGGTTCTGCCTGTCACAGGACGTTACCTGTTCACAGGTCAATTTTTTCCACCTGTCACAGCTCTGACCTGTCGCAGGCCTCACCTGTGACAGGTCGTCACCTGTTGACAGGTAGAAAAAATCTACCTGTCACAGGTTGACCTGTCACCTGTCACCTGTCACCTTTGACTATCGAAATTTTTTTCTTCTAGTGAAGTATAAAGATTTCATACAAAATTCATCAATTTTTTTGCTTCCTCAAGTCACGAGTTCAAATCTCTTCGCAAGCAACTTTCTTTTTTTGCATTTTTATGATTTGTTTTTAAACTTTTTTGATAAAATATTAAGTTTTATGACAAAGTTTTCCATTTTCATATTTTATTTCTTCACTTTCTATATTTTAACATGTATTTTAAATTTTTTCCATATATTTTCATACAAATTTAAATTTTTTTGTCATTTTTTATCAATATTTTATACATATTTTATTTTAACAAGTTGAAATCTGATACAAAGGCTCTTTTCCTAGATCTGGATGTTCTAAAATCGTAATCTTGGATCATAATTTTTTATATATTTCGACTTTTTGCGGTCTCGAATGACAAAGTCTATACTAGTTTTAATATTTTATGCCATTTTATGATCCAAGATTACGATTTTAGAACATCCAGATCTAGGAAAAGAGCCTTTGTATCAGATTTCAACTTGTTAAAATAAAATATGTATAAAATATTGATAAAAAATGACAAAAAAATTTAAATTTGTATGAAAATATATGGAAAAAATTTAAAATACATGTTAAAATATAGAAAGTGAAGAAATAAAATATGAAAATGGAAAACTTTGTCATAAAACTTAATATTTTATCAAAAAAGTTTAAAAACAAATCATAAAAATGCAAAAAAAGAAAGTTGCTTGCGAAGAGATTTGAACTCGTGACTTGAGGAAGCAAAAAAATTGATGAATTTTGTATGAAATCTTTATACTTCACTAGAAGAAAAAAATTTCGATAGTCAAAGGTGACAGGTGACAGGTGACAGGTCTACCTGTCAACAGGTAGATTTTTTCTACCTGTCAACAGGTGACGACCTGTCACAGGTGAGGCCTGCGACAGGTCAGAGCTGTGACAGGTAGAAAAAATTGACCTGTGAACAGGTAACGACCTGTTACAGGCAGAACCTTTGACAGGTCAGACCTGTGACAGGCGAAAAAAATTGACCTGTGAACAGGTAACGACCTGTTACAGGCAGAACCTTTGACAGGTCTGACCTGTGACAGGCGAAAAAATTTGACCTGTGAACAGGTAACGGCCTGTTACAGGCAGAACCTTTGACAGGTCTGACCTGTGACAGGCGAAAAAATTTGACCTGTGAACAGGTAACGGCCTGTGACAGGTAGAACCTTTGACAGGTCAGACCTGTGATAGGCGAAAAATTTTGACCTGTGAACAGGTAACGGCCTGTGACAGGTGGGCTGTTTTTGTTGACCTGTGACAGATCGCAACTCTGGGATATACAAATTTTTTTTTGTTCACTCAGTCATTTTTATCCTGTTTCCTACCTTTTACAATTTTTTTCTCTACTGTGCCCAATGTTGGAGCTTTTGTACACACATGAGTGCTTTTAGAAAAAAAGTTGGAATAAGTAATGGAATCAAGTGGATTGCTTTTTGTAGAGCGCAATATTCATTTTTGAGTCTGTCATATGGATTGAGGAGAAGGAAATGCTGAGAGTTAATAAATCAGAATTAATGACCGACGGATAGAGTTCAATTCTTAAATGTTTATCCTCAAAATGAGAGAGTTGAATAGGCCCAAGATTATTGGCGCCACGAGGTTCCACCATTCAAACTCAAAATTGAAAGATTCTAGGTTTGAAGGTGACACTATAACCCCCCCCCCCCCCTTCCCTTTTAACTTCCATTATGCACTAGTTGCAATTTTCTTAATAATGTAGACAATATTAAGTATAAGGCTACCTGTGAGAAGTAAAGGCGCTACTCTGCATGCATTCAGTTCCATTAGAGTGTCATACACATCAAAGCCAACTTTATTGTACATCCTCAAAGCTAAAATTTCTCAAAACTCATTTTAAATCCAACTAAAATATTCTGAAACCAAAAATATCCAAATCAGAGCATTTGCAGGCATTCCAGTCCACAACAGAACTCACAAACTTATTCATTTTCCTAGAATTCCACCAAACGGCTAACAAAGTCATATTGCCAGAATGTATGAACATTTTCACAAAAAATCTATCCAATTCTCAATCAATATCATCGCAATCGAGATGATATTTGTTCCAACCTCTCAAATATTCAAATGTTATTTTGAAAAAAAAAGGTTCTAAATTGCATTTTCATTCAAATTCCATTTTTTTTGTATTTTTTAAAAAAAAAATCTAGGTGAATTTGGCGAAGTAAAATACGCACTGATTGGGGAACAAAGTCAACATTTTGAGATTGATGAGAATACGGGTGAAATATTTGTGGCAAATACAACAGCATTGGATAGAGAAAAGCAATCGGAGATTATGTTGTCAGTTGTGGCAATTGACCAAGGTCTCCCAATTGATGAACGACGATCGACGACATCAAATGTAAATATAAAAGTGTGGGATGAGAATGATGAATCTCCGACGTTTAGACAGCATAGCTATTATTCGAGCATTGCTGAAAATCTTCAGTTAAATCCACCTGCCACAATTCTACAAGTTCAGGCTGATGACAAGGATGAAGATGAAGCTGGAACTGTGAAATATACAATTCTATCCGGTAATGATGATAATTCATTTATGCTTGATGCCAATTCTGGCATTTTATATCCAGCGACATCATTAATGGGACGTAAAGGTCAATATAAATTAAAAGTTGAAGCTCGTGATGGTGTGGGTTTTGGACCGCATACAGACATTACAGAAATAATTATTGACGTAATTGAAGTGAATCAGCATCGACCAATGTTCATTATGCCAGCATTATCAAATGCAACGGTCGAGATACAGGAGATATTAGCCATTAAAGACTATTTAGTGCTAACGGTAAAAGCAGAGGATCCAGATAATGGCGATAATGGTAAAATCTCATACCATCTGCAAGTCAACAATGAGAATGTACAGGAGACAGACACATTTGAAATAAACACTATGAACGGTGAATTGAGGTTGAAGAAGCAATTGAATAAAAAAGAATTGTCACGATATGAAATAATTCTCGTTGCACGAGATCATGGTATACCAACGAATTTTCAACAATTGAGATTCCTTACCATACTGCTGGTTGATAACAATGAAGGCAATCCAGAATTCCCGGATGCTAGCAACCCATACAAATTTTATGTAACGGAAAATGGTGAACGTGATGAGCGTATTGGTAAAATTCAGGCAATTGTGCACGATTCGGGACGGGAGAAGGAAAACCATGCAATTTATTATTATATTTTGCTCGGAAATGACGATGGTGCTTTTTATATCGACAAAATTACCGGCGATGTCTTTACGAATAAATCATTAGATCGTGAAATGGTCGATATGTATGTGCTGTATGTTCTTGCAAGTAAAAAGTCTGACTTACATATCAGCGACACCGAGCAACTGTTTTTATCAACTGAAAATCTTGAACGTAATAGCACTGTGGCTAAAGTTTGGATTCACGTACTCGACGTTAATGACTGTGCACCTGAATTTCCTCAAAATGTGAGTTCTCTTTTTAGTGTGTTCATAAAATTTTATGAGAGATTCAAGGGATTGGAATTTTATATTTTCAAAGTATAGCTTTATGTAGTGTTAAAGCTATGATTTAACCAGAAGAGCATCAAATTTCATAAAATCCTGATGTTGGATTTGTTGAGAATTGAACTAATACCTTTTAAATAAACAGTTCTTAGTAAACTTAATCGAAGATCATTTTTCTACATCTTTGCTAATGATGGGATTTGAACCCATGAATTTAAAGCCATCTTTTGTGGCCCGCACCTTCAGCAGCCCTCAACCATACTATAAAGCTACTCATAGCATTATTGTAACATTATAAATTTTAAATCAAATCCCATCCCTTGAATCTCTCACTCGACTCTCAATAATCTCTTAAGCCTTCGATAAAATAAATGCATTTTCACATATTTTTTTTTTGTCTCGTCCCTTATCACAACACCAACAGATATATTATGCTGGAGTTAATAAAAAGTCGGGAGTGAGTGAGCTAATTGCCATAATTAATGCAACAGATAAAGACTTTGGAGTGAATGCAAGCATTGAATATCTAATTGCCGCATCGCATTTGTATAAATTTGGGGCATCGAAATCAACAGGCAACATTGTTCCATCGCCATTCTGTGAGTTCCTATATTTTTTTTATTGTTCTGCTATTGTTTTCAGTTTTTTTTTTCTTGTTTTGTTGCATGACTCTTTTCATTATGTTCATAACATGGATGACTGAATTGAGATTTTCTGGTTATGAAAATCATAAAATTGAGTGCTGTAGATGCCTCTGAATTGTGGACAAAGAGTCTGAAACTTTCATTCTAAACATCCATGTATCATTGATGAAAACAAGGAAGCAAAAGCTTTTATGCTTTATTTTTTATTTCTCTGTCCTTTTGTTACCATTTTCCCTTTTTTTTCTATACTTCAATTCTCTCACAACAGCAATTTCACAAGATGGAAGATTAACTACAAATGCATATATGGCTGAGTATAACCAGGATAGATTTGAATTAGATATTCAAGCTAAAGAAGTGCAACCACCTGAAAGAATTGCAGTGGCAAAAGTTTTTGTAAGTATCAAGTCATTTAGAACTTTTTTTGCTGAAAATTGTATGTATTCCCATTTTCCCTTTGATAAAACATGCATGCTTATGCATTTGTAACGAAAAAGGGAATGGAAAAAATTTGAGGATGAAAAAAAGTCTTTTGAAAAAAAAAAATGAACATGTAAACTAGTCTGTGAATATGGAATGTATCTAGTCATAGATAGGGTGACTGTGTGCTTGAATATTACAGATTTGAATGCAATCTAGAATTTATAATGATCAATGAATGAGGAGATACTGTGATAACAGCATTTTAGATTCTTAATTCACTTTCAATATGTTTACATTCACACCTCAGAATTTTGTTCTCAATTTTTCGATCAATATGATGTTTATTATTCATTTGAATAGTTGAGAACTGTATAAAAAGAGTGAGCACATGCATATTTATGATACTCATGCGACAAATCAGCATAATTACTCCAAAAATTGTAAAATTATGAGTTTTGTCATACAAAAATTTTTTTTAAACAAACTTGAAAAAATTTGGCGGGAAAATTCAAATATTTGGCTGTTAAATCTCATTAATTGAAATCAAAAATTGTTTCAAATGTATAAATAGTGATCAGAATAACAACCTAGTCACCCAAGACATGCCATACAAAAAGAAAAATTGAACTCTAATTTTTCAAATAAAAATGATATGTTATACATTCTAAAAAACATATACTCTACTGCAAAATGGGAAGCTTTATGTCAATTTTTCATTACTTTTTGAGGTGAGCTTTGTGACTTGAAAAATGTAGAAAAAAAGTTTCTCATAAATAAAACTACTGAATATGTATAAAGAGAATTATTCACATAAAATTTGAGTTGAAGAATGGATTTGAATGCTCATGTTAGAATTCTTTTACATACTTCTTTATTGAGTATTCTCAGAAGCAAATCCTTGAAATTTTTTACAGTTTCCTCTCAATAAGTTCTGTACATTTTAATCTAACCGGAAGTACTACAAAAAGTCATCACAGATGAGTGATCAAAGGAACTTTTATTTGCATCTAAGAGTCACTAGAGTATGTAGATGTAGATTATATTGCCTTTAGGAATGAGATTGCTTTTTATTAAGAAAAATCCTTCAGGTGGTACAAGAAAGACTTTTGAGAATGGTACAGACAATATTTAAAGTCTTCTATGCGTCAGATTTCAATTTATTGTTTAAATTTCTGAATTAATTATGTTAAGGATCCTTAAATTGAGCTTTGAATCAAAGTTCGAGTATGAATTCTTCAGATTCTTGGTCAAATTAAGCCCCTTTACATTAAACTAAATGATAACAATAAGAAGCAATGCTTAAAAAGCTTAAATTTACTCCAAATCATCTCAATTTCTACTTCCAAAACTACCAACAAATTGAATCTTTGAACCAACTCACCTGACATGATTCTGTTCTATTAGATTACATCTCATTCGACACATATCTTCAGAATCATGTTTCTCTTTCTTCACCTTCAAACAATGAATACACAATTGGCAATAATATCCTTCCTTAAATCTCATGTATCCGTTACCAAATGTCTCATGTTATATGTTTTTGTATCATTTTTTTCTGCTACAGGTTTGGATTTATGAACCAGAACAGCTTGTACGTGTGATCTTATCACGACCACCATCCGAAGTGCAAAATGAACGTGATGAAATTTTAGTTGAATTAACAAATGTAACGAAAAAGCACATCATTATCGACGATGTACGATATCATGTTGATAGCATCGGTAGAATTCGTATGGATTGGACAGATTTGTTCTTTCATGCTGTTGATATGACGACAAAATCAATCGTTCCAGTTTATGATATCTTAAATGAAATCGATTCCAAATATGACTTCCTTAAGGATTACTACAGCGTAAGTTGGAATTGGAAGCTTCAACTAGAAGTTTAGTCAATTTTCATCTTTTCCTCTATTTTTATTATTTTAAACATTCAGGGATTCGCAATTGAGAATGTCGTACCAGCATATACAGAGAACTTACAAGAAGAATTTGATATTGCATTGGCAGCCATCATTGCATTACTGATTGTGCTCTTTGTTGGCGCAATAAGTTTCATCGTTCTATGTTGCTGTCTAAAGAATTGGGTAATATCAATACCATCCGAGACGAGACGGAAAGATGCATTGATCAAAAAGCAAATAATCGATGACTTAAATACGACAGAGAATCCTTTATGGATTGAACAGTAAGTTTACTAAAACTTTTTTCCTTTTTTTTATTATATCAAGTTTCAATCGAAATCGTAGAGATGCAATTTGAAATAAAAAAATATATATATGTGGGAGATGGAATAGACGGGAAAAAAAAGTTTATCAAACTGGAAAAATGTATAATCTCGTTGAGGAAAAGTTAGGATGTTTCTAATTGTGGACCAGTTTTATAAGAGATGCTGGAGCGAAGTTTTGAAAGGAAAAATGTTGATTGTAAGGGTAATTTGAAGACTTGAGACATAAAGTTTCAGTTTACGGACTAGATTTCTTTATGGGTCGATTTCGAGGATACTCTAAAACTCAAACTAGTACTTTTGAACTCAAGCTAGTGCTTTTGAATTTAAGATAATACTCTTGAGCTTAAGCTGGTACTTTTTAACTCAAGCTAGTATCGTAGAACACAAGCTAGTACTTTTCAACTCAAGCTAGTACTTTCGAACTCAAGCTAGTATTGTGGAACACAAGCTAGTACTTTTTAACTCAAGCTAGTACTTTCGAACTCAAGCTAGTATCGTAGAACACAAGCTAGTACTTTTCAACTCAAACTAGTACTTTCGAACTCAAGCTAGTATTGTGGAACACAAGCAAGTACTTTTAAACTCAAGCAAGTACTCTTGAACTCAAGCAAGTACTTTTGAACTCAAGATAGATTCAAAAACTCAAGCTAAAATTCTAGATTACTAAATCTAATAATATAACTAGTTGGCTAGTACTCTAGTCTATTATTAGAAATCTAGAAAAAAAACAGAATCATTAGCTTCAATTTGCTGACAATTTTCTAACAAATAAATAACCAGACAATCTAATTCCAAACTAATTCGTCCAATTGAAAAAAAATGCTGCGGTAGCAAAAATCAATTGACTGCACCCATCAGTTGCATTACTCTATATCCAATGACATAAACGAAAATATATATTTTTTATATCCAATCTAAAAAATTTTCATCTCACAAATTTCATTTTTATTTCAATTTTTGAAAACACAAAAATAGGAAGCTGAAAATTTACGAGGAACAAGAATTGACAATGAAGATATTTGCGGAGCCAAGTGAATTTCAATTACCGCTCACAGAAAACTCATCAATGAGACAACATAGTTCGAATATATCACATAATTTATTAGGAATGGAGACGCCACCAACACCCTTACTTGATACATATAATGGCAGTGATGCGGGTGGAGATTTAGACACAAATTACGCAACAATATTAAATTATTCAAATAGTAATAATAATAATAACAGCGGTAGCTGTAGTACTAGTAATAATAACAATAGCAGTGCATTAGTGAATAATAGTAGGAGCACGAATAATACAATAAACCTAATAGATGCTGATTATCAAACTTTACGAACATCTCCACGAGTGCCGTCTGTAAGTATCTCTGTCCAAAAATGTTAATCATAATGGAGTAAAGCGATGGAAACTTTTGTGGTTTGTGGATGTCATAAAATTATGATAAATGAGCATTTTGTTGATGGAGATAAGTGATTGTTTTGTGAGATGAGAAGATAGTTTTATGATTTTTAATATAATAATGCAGAGTTAAAGGTAGATTGAGAGCGATTTGAGAGAATTGAGAGCGATTTGAGAGAATTGAGAGCAATTTGAGAGAATTAAGAGCAATTTGAGAGAATTGAGAGCAATTTGAGAAAGATTGAGAGAACAAAATTTTAAAAGATTTGGCTCAAAATTTCCAAATTTCCTATCAAACCACAAATGAATCCATCCCTAGCCATCACAATTCATCCAAACTTAACACCTCATATGCATAATTATAATCGAATGTACCTCATTCATTTAACTATTTACTCTTTAATCCTCCATTAACAGCTCTTTGAATTTAATGGATCAACATTTCAAGTGCAGCGTAATGCAAACTCATCGGATTATACTGGTGAGTTAATGTGAAAATTCGAAATGGGAATAAATCATTCAAATTCTCATTTATTTCCATCAACAAAAATATAAACAACAACAACAAATAACAGGATAAGACTTTCGAGGGACGAGTGGAATTTTTTCGTAAAAATAAAAACAAAAAAAAATTGTGAATAATAATTAGTAAGATGTTTATAAAGTTAAGAAAAAAAGATTTTCTTTTTGTAAATGAGTGAAAAAAAAATTTTAAAAAAATTTTCATTTTCGAGGAGAAAAATTTTTAACTGAAAAGATTTAATGACTGGAAATAAACTTTGAAGTTTGACATGACAGCATGAATTTTTAAACAATTGAGATTTATGAAAGGATGGAAAATTGTTCAGTTTTAGATAGAAACTTTTATGACAGACATAGTTGAAGGCACATTGAGTAACTGTTTAGGATTGTCTGGGTCCAGATTGTCTTACACAACCTCATCATTTGGCTCTACCCGTTTTCTATTAGACTATGACTAGGATGGGTTATCGACCCTAGATATCAATGATGTCTTGATTTCTTCTTTACCAACACTGCTTGAGTCTGTTTACTAAATTACTAAAATCTGGAATTTTGTGAACATTAAAAAATGAAAGTTTAATAATTTTAATTGAAATATTTTCTTAAAATTCCAAGAAAATCTGTCAATTATGAAGACAAATGGAATGCAAAACAATTTCCACCATTAAATGATTATCTCCTTGGTCACAAGTATTATAATCTTGCCATAAAAAATCCCTAATAATTTTACTTAATCAGAATAAGTGGGTAGCTCAAAAAAAGAATTACGTAGACCAAAAATCAAAGGAGATATTAATGCCAAGCTCTTGCCAAGTCACAGTCATTATAACTTTTCTCATGAACCATTTCTCCTCAAATGAAAAACATCTAAGACAATAATTATGATGAAAAAAAAATGAAGATCAAGCTGATGATGTTAAGGAACAAAATGATTGTAGCGAATGTTGTTTTTAATTTTTAAGTAATTTATTAAGGTAGACACAAAAGAAAAAAACAAATCAGTCCTTATTTATATACAAAATATTAAGATTATTGTAAGATCTAAAGGTGTGGAATAAGCAAAGGATTGTGGATGGTAGAAGATGGTAGCTTTCAGGATGCATAATACTTGGTTATGCTAAAGTTGCAATTGAGTGATTGATTTTATTAAAAATGACTTTTTGATTTGCTTAATCAACATTATTAATTTGTGACAGATATCAAAGACTATTCCAAAATTTTATCATTTAAATCTTCATTGTCCTTAAAAGGTGAAGCATTTTAAATCAATAAAATATTATTAATTAAGATCAGAAACCAAACGTGAGTAGCTTCTTATTAATGGTTGAAAGAATCTAATAATTAAGTTAATAGTCAAACAACATCGCATTACTATATCAAAGCATCATCTATTTTGCAAGAGTCTAGCTCGAACAATCCTTTGACTATCCAACTGGATAAAAAAAAGTGAGAGAAAAACCTTTTTTGTGAGACTTTCAAGTTGTTTTTATACTTCTTTAATTTTAAATCTAATTTTAAATTCAATACAAATTATGTAATTGTATCTAGAGGTTGTTTGTTTGTATGGCACATCCAAACGCATAAAAAGGAACAAATGGATTGACCGCGAATGCCAAAAAAAAGAAAAATAACTGGTTTATAGTGAATATCATTCGGAAATAGTTTTTAAACAACACAAATTGTGTGTTACGATTTTATATGGAAAAAAAGCAAAAGAAAAACTTTTTTCCTTCAACTTTTTTTGTTATTTTGGAATTCTTATTCAATTTGTTGTTATACAATGAGCCATTCCGAGGAAAAACTTTCTTTGTATTCTCAGTGAATTTTTTTTTGAATCGCAAAAATGTTTTTAGACAAATAATGGTGAATGAAGAGAAGAACAAAATGTCACAGCAGAATGTTTGGATTAATATTGTGATTTGAGAACTGTTTTTAAGATTGCAGATGAGTTTTAGGGGTTCCAGATTTTTTAAGAGGCTTCTTGGAGTAGCTTGGTTGGGTTTAATTAGAATTTTCGAGGGTTTAGCGATTTTAGGGTTTTAATTTTAGTTTTTGAGGTTATTTATCCATCAACCAGCTTAGTTATGGTAGAATACATCCTTAAAAATTCTTCTAAATATGATACAACCTTTAAATCCACATAGGTTGATCAAAAATAGAATTTAGATTGACTTTAGGGCGATTCCATGAGTGATTTTTTTTTTCTCAACTCAATTTTTTGTAAATATTTCCTTAATTAACTTCATTTAACGCCATATTTAAGATTTATTTTATTTATTATTATGGTATTTATGTATTTAAGTGCATAATCTTTTAGTTAAATCTGTCTGACAAAAGATATTTTAAAAAAACCAAACTTAATCGGTCAACTTTACGAAAAATTGATTTTTAAATTTTCATCAATATTTCTTCGAATATCCATTGTTGTGTTACAAATCTATGATAAACACACGTGAAATCGTCTGTGCTTTATAACAATATCTTATTTGTATGTCTTTCTACTGTAATTAAGGAGAAAATTGGGGAAAACACCACTTAATCGGTCAACTTTCAACCGATTATTGCAAAACATATTACATATTTTTGTCAAAATGCAGCATAATTAAGACGATTAAATGCTAATAACACATGAATTGATGAATAATAAGTCTTATTTAGTGAAAAGATATGTTGAAATATGTATATTTAAGCAGAAAAAGCTAAAAAAGTTTTTGAAAAAAAAAATTTCAGTTTCATTTACCCATGGAATCGCCCTTTAGTCTATTTTATCATTTTGAAAGGGTTAAAAGAGCTAAGGTTAGCTAGAGACACTATTTTCTGGTCGATATCTATCTAGTCTAAATTGTAAAAGTCAATTAAAATAAAATCTAATCTTGAATATTCAGTTTTGATGAGAACTCAAACACTTAAGTTAAAGTCATCAATGTGAAATCATAAAAATCCCACGCCCAAAATCATCTGCAAGATTTTTTTCTTAAAAATAGAAAAATTATTAAAGTTAATTAACTCAAAAGAAATGAAATTAAAAAAGCCAGAAACTCTTTCGTTATTTCTTTTTATAAGTTTTTAAATATTTTGATGTAAATCCAATTTAATTATTTATTCCGAATGAACTGTAACGAGAAGAAATTATGTTAATTTTAGATAAAGGAAGGAAAAGTATGAAATTAGATGTAAAATAAAGAAGGGATCGCGTATTAATTATTTTTATTATGAGACCTCATCTTTTTCATTGATTTTTAATCTTCTGCCTATACTTTACATATTTTTTTCAGCCCTTTTTCCATTACAGCAAGCTTATTATTTAAGCATCCCACACCCGGGACTTAAATTTGTACACTCATTTTCTGTTATGGAAATAACTTCCACATAAAATTCAGTAAATGAGTAGGAAGAGGTGAATATGTATGGAATAATGAAATTCGCAGTTAAATGATGGATTTTTATGGAAGCTACGCTTTTAATAAGCAGAAAATGTGTAATTACAGGTAAATGCGTATGTAAATTCTTATTTTTGGTCGTTGTAACGTTTTTTAATGAAGCGGATCAATAAAGAATAAATCAATATAATTCATGTAAGACCGTCATTTTGGAGTGTATGGTGTGCGGTTGATGGACGGGAATCAGACTGATTTAAATATCAAAATGGAGTATGAAAAAGTCAAAAATTTAATAAAATATAATAAAAGCACACTTACTCACAATGATCAGTAAATTTAATTAAAACCAAACCTTTAAATATTTCAAATCTTTTCTTTGCAAATGTGAATAAAGAGGGTGTGAAACTACGTCAATTTACTAAAAAAAGGTAAAATCTGAAACCAGTAAGTTCGTTAATGCAGCAAATATGTAAAGAATAAAATTAATGAGTCATCGAAGTGATAAGTAGCGAAAACAGCGATTAAAGTTGATTCGATTTCAATAGAATTTTCCTGCCCATGTTAAATGTCATTTTATTTTATTATAATTCAATTTCAATTTTCAATAAAACTTAAGAATATTTTTTGAAAATCAGAAACTCGGAAATTAACCATTATTTTTCAATTCCATTCCAAAAACCTCCAAAAAATAAACCCCAAAATTTTAATTAGCATCCAAAAACAATAATTCCCATTTGTCAAGCTCATTTTACAAACTTTTTAAAACGTGGTTAAAAAAGTATCAAATTTGTTCAAACATTTGTTTTGTTTTTATTGTCAAGATATTCAGCTTCCTTTATGATTCCCATATAAAATTTCATTGCCTTAAAATTGAAATGTTATTCCATTGTTGTTTGCGTATTTTATTCCTCTCAAAACATGACACACAGAACGAAATTTTTCTGTATCTAATTCATGGTAAAATTGTTATTTAGAGTCAATCTTTGATGCTGTTGCTTATTGTTTGTCTTGGAAAATTGAAGTATTTTTTTTATGGAATTTCGATTATCTTTAAACTCCCTTCTGTGGATTCAAGAGAGAACTTTGATGGATAAATTTATTCGCATATATTGGATATACGATATGGCAGCTATTGCGTATTTCATCCACAAGAAATTTAAATTTTTTCCTCTTCAAACATTTGCAATTTCAAAATTCTTGATTTAAATTTGAATTTTTTTGTTTTAAATTTTAAATTTTTAGCATAGAAGAAAAAGGATCCATGTGCGCAATAGATTAACATTTCAAATATGAAATTGATTGATTTTGATTTTAATATTTTGATGAAATTTTCCTGGTGTGGTTTTGTATTCAGCAACTAAAGAAATTGTAAAGCTAGAAGTATTCAAAAAAAATTTCAAATTGAAAAATACCGGTCAGACAGACAAAATGTGAACAAAATATCTTTCTTTTATTATTAAATCGGCTCCAAAAATTATAATTTTAAATCTCATACCAAAGATCCCATCCAAAACATTTTTGATGCTTCCAAATTTTCTAATTATTAAAAACTCAAAACCACTTCCATCCCCCCTCAAAAAAGACTTAAGATTT